AGCAGCCATCCAGAAGCCGGCGACTGATCTGCCTCACCCGGGAAGAGCGCAATGATGGTGCCAACTTGGGCCAGTGAAGCAACGTCCTCCACAACTAGACTGAAGAACAAAACGACAACAACTTGTCTGTTCCCCTTCCCCCAATTCCCCAGCACTGTTCTCATCCCCCCAATTCCCCAATAAAAAATCTTAAAAAAAAAAAAGGTATCAGAAAGGTTTTACTCTTTGAAAATACATACAATATCATTAGTTTTTCAAACTTCCTACGTAATCTATACTTAACCCTGTTTTCTTGGTTCCTACTTAAGAGATTCATTCTTTTGTTTGAAATATTATCCATTTCCTAAATACATACTATGTTCAGAACAGTGTGCCAAGTTCTCAGGGGATAATTAAAAAGCAATCAAGATAAGTCACAGCTCCTACCTTACTGGCTAGTTGTAAAACAAGATACATATGACCCAAATAAGGAATGAATTGCAGTTATATATGAAAAAGCACCTGATGAGAGCAAATCAATGTGAGTTGGAACTTGTTGTAAAGGTGGGATTCAAATTGGGCATATTTCCTTCCTTAAGGGAGGAAGAGGCTAAAGTCAAGGAAGTTAGCGAGGACCCACCCAAATGGGCCAGACATTAGGTGATGGGCCAGGTGAGGTAGGACAAGACAGAAAGAAGAAATGTCAAATGAGGCGACTGACTAGAAACAGGGGTATGGAAAAGAGGGAGGAGTCAAAGCAGATGAAGATTTTAATACCTGAGTCCTGAAACAGTGTTGATGACAGGAATAAGGAAATTGGGAGATGCGTCTTGTTTGTATAGGAATAAAGGTTACTTTTGAGACATGTTGAGTTTAAATCGGCATTTATTCCCTTCTTCACACCTTATGCTGCAGTAAAATCAAATTGCTTGTAAGTTGCCCGATACTACAATATTTCTCATCTGCTTGCCTCTCAGCCTGGAAGGTTCATCGGACCACCCCTGTCCACCTAGCAGACTGATTCTCTAAGAAACTACCAAGCATTGTGACAAGGATGAGGGTCTAGAAGCTAATCTGGTTGCATGCCTGCCCACCTGCTTTAGGAATCCACTGAAAGCCAAGTTATGTATCACCCATAGCTGCTGCCCCACCAAAGGCCCAAGTCCTCTCCTCTATCAACCAGGGGCTGAGAGAGATGAACTCCTTTGGGAATCCTTAAGACGTGCACCCCCGCCATCCTTGTCCACTACACACAGCTCCTCTGGTCACTTTCCATTTGTACACTCTGCTCTCATACTGTGTTTTCTTTCTCCTGATACCAAACCTTATTATGTTCTGCTCCCCGCCACACTTTCTCTGAACACTCTCGGACTCCCATACCATGGTGAGCAAAGTTACCTACATCCTCAGCCTTTTCACCAACACTCCTTCCCGCTAGCCTTACTCAACCCTGGATCTACCCCAGGCAACCTTCTCAGGTGAACAGCACCCTTTCTCTGCCCCCCCCCCACCACACACATGCACACAAACACACACGAGTCAGGAAGAAAGTCAGGCATACTTCTCACTCTCTATAATGCTGTTTCCAGACCCTTTAATCATAAAAGCCCCAGTCCTCTCCTCTCTGATATCACGTAAGCAGTAGCAGTGTTTCTCCCATTGGGATTTATTTTGACCAGTAAGATCATTAAACACACAAAAAAACCCTCCACTACAGTTTCAAAAAAGAAAGCACTTTTTATTCCAAAAAAGGTGGGAAGGCTATCACCTCAGAATAAAGAACATTCCTCTAAGTGAAATAATTTAGCATTCTGAAGGGCTCGCCAGTGGCCACTGCTCTCACTTCACTCTTGTGTTAAGTTGCCAAGCCCCGCCTCTCCTCCTGTGAATGACGCATCCCAAACTCCAGGCCCCTTGGCTCCTTAACACCTTCAACATGACCTCCTCCTACCTCTCTTCTTCAGCTACCCACTCCTATGGCCACACGCTAGGTGTTACCATCGCATCTTCTGTGGCCATACTGCCTGCTCTTCCTGCTCTGACACTCCAGTATCCCCAAGACTATCTGTTCCATTTCATCAAGACATCTTCGGTCCGTCTACTTCCTCCCTATTAACACCCTCCTCTTTGCCCATATCCTATGGTCCATCATGACAATTTCTCTTGCCAATATCCTCAATTCTCATGTTCCACTGTCCTTCATTTTCACCCACTTGCAAAAACTGCAACTGTTCTACCTTTGGTGGATTGGATCTGGTTCCATTCCACAGCCTCACGGTGGACTGTCTAAGCAGTGGCCCCAATTGTTTCACACCTTGCTGTATCTACCCCCAGCACACCGACCCTGGCCTTGGCCATGTGTCTAGCTTTGGAATGGACAGCAGTACATGTGACACAAGCAGAAACTTGAACAACGGTTACACATTGGAGCGTGCTCTCTTGCCGCTCTTAGCACCACACCATCGTGTTAAAACCAGGGCTAGCCAGCTGGAGAATGAGGGGACACGTGGAGAAGAAACCAAGGTGCCCCAGTCAGCCAGCCCCCAGTTGCTCCAGTAGGTGACCACAGATGCAGGAGTGAGCCCCAGGTGAGACCGCTCAGCCTAGCCCAGATCACACCCGCCCAGCTGAGCCCAACCCAATCACGGGGAAAACTGTTGTAAGCCATTAAATTTCAGGGTGGTTTGTTGTTTAGGAAAAGGTAATTTATATAACCCAGAGGCTAAAAATGCTAGAAGAAATTTATACAACAAAGCAGACTAGTATCAGCTATTTCTACCTATCCTCGACTCAAACCCATTCTGCCAGTCCTACCCCTGCTTATTAGATATCAAATGTTCATAGAAGAGAGAAACCATTAGATAAGGACTTTTTCAATCCCCAGCCACCTCAGGCTCGCCACCCCGAAGTCCTGACCTGTAGGAGTCGCATCTCCCACATCCCCGCCCTGCCCAGGTACCCACCCTGCGCCCTGGGTCTCACTACCCTCCTTGCTCCTCGGTTCTCTTCCTCCTGCCCCCACCTCCCTCCCATCAGCATTTAATCTCTCCCACATCAAAACACCACAAATAACAACAAAAATTCTCTCTCCATCTCTTACTACTATTCGACTACAGGCACACCTGTTTTATTGCAATTCACTTGCTCACGCTTCACAAGTGTCAAGTTTTATACAAACCAAAGATAAGACCCTCCACCAGGAAAAAGATTACAACTCACTTAATTGCGATACTCGCTTTATTGCGGTGGTTTGGAACGGAACCCACAAGATCTTTGAGATATGACTGTACTACTGTTTTCACTTTCTCCAACAATTTGCAAGTGGCTTTTTGGTGTTTTTAAAAAGCTTTTTCACTTCCCCTTCATTTCTCAAACTGCAATCTGGCTTCTCTCTCCCTCTCCAGTCCACTCAGTCCACTGCCACCACCTGCCATGCTCCCCTGCTAAATCCTATGCACATGTTTCTGTATATGTCCCTAATCTCAACAGCATCTAATATGCTGGCCATTCCCTCTTTCTTGAATTATCTCTCTCCCCTTGGCTGCTGTGTCACTACGCCCTGTTGCCATCCCCATGCCTCTATGGTGGATCATTTTTAGCTATCTTTGCAGCCCCTCATCCTCTGCCGGACTCTTTAATGTCGTTTTTCCTCAGGATTGCAAACTCTGCCTTCTCTCTCAACAAATTCTTCTAAGGCAGCAGTTCTCAACCTTCCTAATGCCGCGACCCCTTAATACAGTTCCTCATGTTGTAGTGACCCCCAACCATAAAATTATTTTCATTGCTACTCTATAACTGTAATTTTGTTACTGTTACGAATCATAATGTAAATATCTTTTTGTTTTCCGATGGTCTTAGGCGACCCCTGTGAAAGGGTCGTTCAACCCCCAAAGGGGTTGCGACCCGCAGGTTGAGAACCGCTGTTCTAAGGCAATCTCACTCACTGGCATGGCTTTCATTATCTAGGCTACTGACTCACCAGATCTACATTTCTGGCAGAGCTAGCGCTCTCTC